TCAATAAATCTATGTTTACCAAATGGAAAATCATCCAGTTGAACTTGTATCAGCATGGAACACTCACAACAAGCAAATTATAAATGCACAATGTGAAGCTTCATATACTGGTCATTGTTAGGCAGCATTGTACTTACGAAATTCTATTAAATGATGCCGAATAATATGTTTACTGTACAACTACAGAACAATGCGTGTTATGCTTCATTGACATCAAATCGGCCAATGTGAGTATAATTAAAATAGGTCGAAAAATCGACACGAAGAATTCTTTCTTAAAGCTCGAATTTGCATAATTAATTTAAAATTATTTTGATACTGTAAGGAAACAATGTTTGTGCCCAATCAAAGTACAATAGAATCAGTTCACCTGAGTTTTTTAATAGCTTTGATGTTCATTTTTGCTCTCAGTTACGAAAAGACCGTTGGAAGGTAGAATGCTAACGAAGTAATTATAACAAATATATAGATGATGCTTTACTATGAAAGCTTCACGACACGCAAACCGATTTAATTATAAATTCATCAATTATAGAATAAATAAATATGGAAAATAAAATATACGGAAGCAGAGAGGCCTTTACGTTACTAATGGCCCGCGAAATAACCTAATAGCTTCAAAATACAAAAACATATATTACCATTAAAATTAATCACGATTTCCATATATTTGTGGGTTTTCTGCTGAATTTGTATCCATCTTGTTTTAAAGCGGAACGAAAGGTGGTACAGACTTTCGTAAATTTCCCACAGGAAAATTTTAAACAGTTTTGAGGTATTTTTAGCTCCTTTTAACTTTCCAAGAGTCAACCAATGTTTACTCCTGAATAATTTATGTGCCAACGGTCTGCAATTTGTGTCCGATTAAAACTGAATTATGAATAATAATGCTAACCGTCTAGTGCTTGAACAAAAACATCATTCCAGCTATTGATATTACGCAATGTTTAAAATATGCACAGAATAAAACAGCTCTAAAATTCGATATTTTCGTTTTAAGTACAATAAGCTTCTAGAACAAGAAGAGGTCCATTGCCATTGTAAAATATGTGAGATAACGTTAAAAATTGATATACTCAGAATCTGGTACTGTGCAATTTATAGAAAACGTACCTCAAATGCAGCAATTAATTTGGCGATCATAGACTGACTTTTGTCATCTGGTGATTTGCTATACATACAGGGTGATTCACATTTGGCATCATTCCTCTGGAGGTGTTGTCTGGCGCTGTTATAGGACTACAGCAAAAATGGTCAAAGAAATTAATTGTTATTAAAAACTGAGAAATTTCCAAAAAAATATATCAGAAATACGGCAGCAATGTTTTCAAGGTAATCTGCCTCATTAACATTGCGCAAATACCTGTTGCTTCGTCATTATTTAAAACTCCGGTAACCATGGAATTATACAGAGTGGCAATAAGGTAGACAAAGATAAATGGTAAATTCAACAAGATGCGGTGACTGCGGGACGTACTTTCGAAATGTCAACCTGTTCTCATAACCTCGAATTGGTTCAATGGTTAACTCCAAACAAGCTAGTGCCTGTGTAATCTCCTTATAATCCAGTCTTATCAAGCAGCTTCTCGTATACAGTTAATTAACTCCTGCTCCATTTGTATCTCCTTGTGCTGTGTGTATCGTACAAACGTCGTAGGAATGTAGCCCTTCCTCGGTATTTATTTGGTCCTTGGGAAAGTGTCAGTCAAGGCCCTGATTCGATTATGTCCAATACTTGTTCCTCTGTGTCTGGAACCCGAACATCGATTGTCGTCCACTATCTTCCTGGAATCACTTTCCTCGCCCTTTGTTGGCGTGAGTTCTTTCAGTTTCTGCTATGTTACTGTGGCATTTCCTCTGAACTAATTGCATGTCCGCAAATTCGTGAAAAGAAATTCAAGATAAGTCACAGTTTGACAAATTATTCTTATTATTAACAAGGGCTATCCACCTGTAACTATGTGTTAATGATAATGAACATCATTGCCGTTATTATATGTTATATGACTTTTCATCAAAAAATTGTAGAAGAGAACTTTTGTGATATTAAAAATTTTCGTAATTTGAAGCAAATATCGTAATTTTTCTTTTTGATTGCTTAAGTATTCCAATATGCTGCCAATTAAACATGGAACAATTTCTAAATAATGCTTAATAACAAACTTGAATTTCCATCTACAACTGTTAATATCTTCGCATCTAAAAAAAATTTTCAATATTTTTATCGTACTCCCCAAGTGAGCCTCTATCACCTCTTGAAAGGAATGACGCCAATTTTAAATCACCCTGTATATGATATATAAAATGAAACTGTAAATCTGATTTTTTGCATTATTTGACTTTAATTTGCCTGTTTAAGACAATGGTGAATTTCCTTCCTGCACGTAATATAACGTCATACATAGCTAGATATCAACCCAGAACGTCTCCAGTTTTGTCCAGATCAATCCGTTTCCCCCAGGTTGTCGCCGCATTATGGAAATGTCCTCTAACGCAAGTTTTCCTTCATTAATTTTCTTTAATATATTCAAAGCCACTACATGCCTTGAACTTGAGATTGGCATTCTACGATGGAAAGGATCTATTTACATTAAAATCAAAGCAACTTTATACAGATCACTGTAAACACGGGATATTAAGCTGCAATACAATTAACAGCAACAAAAATTATTAGTTAGTTACAAATTGACAGATAATATAAAATTTTACTACCATTTTTAAGATACCTAAATTTAATTAAAATTGACCCTTCCCTACTTGCTAAATTTTTCTCGTTAAACTGAATTTGTGAATCCGATACTAATCAAACAATTGAATCAGCTGGAAGAAGAAAATGCAAAACAAATATCAAATCTATACTAAAACGGTCGAACTTGACTGTTCATTGTCGTCAATGTTAATTTTTCCTTGATTAAATTCCTGAAATCGGACTTAAATTAATGGAAAAGGGAAATACTCTCCTTGTAATTCGTTTATCATTTCTTTTGTTACAGAAAAGTCTTATTGAGATCGAATGCTGATTTATGAAGTTCAGACCCCGTGCCCAAGTTAAATTACTTGAACCGATTTTCGATTGATAATGACTGCATTAAGTCAAGCATAACTTTGAGGACTATTAATATCTTCGGCGTTTAATTATGGAAGTTGCAACTGTTATGTTATTTTTACGATTTTTTCAGTAAAGAGACCAAAAACCCTGCAGTACGACTTAATAACAACAAAAGTTCGTTGGTTTCATTTGCACTAGTAGCAAAAAAACTATCCGTTGTACAATAAGATCCAATAACTTTTAATGAGACGCAATAGATATTTGACGAATATTTATATGATCTCTTTAACGGTGTTTCTCATATAATTTCACTATGATGTTTCTAATTTAAAATTCAAGCACGATATTTTACTTCAATACTTACACAGAATTTTTTGAATCGTCTTCAACAATTGATCTTGTCTCATGGAAAGTTTATGCATGGGTAATTTCTTTTTTAAAATATTTATGAGGATCATTTGCTAGTTTACATGCATAAATTTTGCTTTTCCAAATCTTTTTGAGAATAGAGGTTCTATTAGAAAGTACGAGAATAGCTCATATCGGTCCTCACTCATTTTTGCACACTCATGCCGCCAAATGAGTAAATAAATAGTCGTAGATCGGGAAATTGGAACTTTTTAGATGTGAATTTCGAAAATGAGATTGCATAGTGTGGCTTTATTTTGTGTAACTCTTGTGAAGCGCCGTAGGGCTGGAAAATTGGAGATCGAGATATAAATTAGCATTTTGATAAAATTTGGCCTATCAGCGCAGACTGAAATTGGCCCGGATTTGCATTGTTTCACAGTGCCAAATTAGTTGGAAGCCTTGACTTTGACTCGTTACCGTTTACGAGTAATCTGAGTTAATGAAGAAGACAAATTGGACGATAATTGAATAGGGCAGGGCCATGTGATAATTGGCTGAAACTTAAAGTAAATGCTTCCACATTTACACTAYTAGATTTATATTGACTAATTATATTAGTGCTAAWGCCGAMTAAGCCAGTCAAGCTTGTAATWAAAGAACACTGTTTAAATAGTTTKCCTYTAATTCRCGAAGTATCATCTTCACTTTCTCCATTATTGGAACTTAAGGTAATCGTACCCTGCAGGAGGTACTTAACTACAAATCTTTGAGTATTTACTAGAGATATTTATGRTTTTTGATGAAAAACTGAAAATATATTSAATCATTTAGAGCGTGTTCTGGTATTGCCTGACCCTTACTCTATATKYACTWATTCCTTTAATTGCTAATTATTTCAATGATCAATCATATTACAGATAAAAAKATAAAATTTAAACGTCGATAGTTCGGCTTCTTGAAAAGAGCTATTCAAATATCATTGAAGATMAAAAATTCTGACTYAATTTGCYTCAACACCTTCTGAAAAATGATTAATACTTTTGCCGGCGTAAACGAAACTTTGTTAAACCCTCTCAACATTTTCGATCCCCRTGTAAAATTCTTGTATTTCCAAAGTATATGGACCGAGYTAATGTAAATAACTACAATAACACTACACATAAATGAAGATGAAATTCACACAAAKATTTAATAAAGAACAGAAAACMATTGGCTRTTGTYTACATAAATAATTTTGAATTATTACGGTATTTATTTGACGATTTGTACTTGTTTTTCTTTAAAGTTCTTGAGATTTGCATACACTCTAGATATGTCTRGAATCAATTATRAAAAAAATATTTTCATTTGTACGCTRCTTYCTCAACAGATGAACGAMATTTTTCTTCCAGGGTGGACCATCTTAAGGCTTTCTTGTTGTCCGTTAAATGCAGGCAAATTAGTCTATAGTTTCAGAAAAATAATTGTTATCCGTTGCTAATAAGTTTCCATAAATTTGAGATCTAAATTGTGTTTTGTATTTTTTATAATGGGTGTTATTATCTATTATAATACTGTAATATGCGCCTATCAATCAAAGTTACTAGTTAAAACAACTGAAAAATGAAAAAGCCTTTTTTCGAGTGATTCAAAATATTATCTCTTCAAATAAATTTCGAAGGCGATGATGTAAATACACGTAGATATTCCAATGCTTACACCCATTAAATAAACTTCACTCATGTCCATAACATCACACATGAGCACACCTATCATGACATGGATTTTCTCATTAGCGTTCAAAATTCGAAGATCGATTTCCGTTCGATTTTGTGCTCTAAAATTACGTACTTGTCACTATTGAGTAACCAAATTAAATAAAATTGCTACCTCAAATCAAATGGTTAATCTAATGTTTGAGGTTGAAATCAAGAAGTAATGAATGAAGAAATTGCTGAAAAAAAGCATGCTGTAAAAAGTTATGGTGATTGATCTCTTGTGGTGAAGATTTAGAGGGATAAAATATTCAGTTGCCGTTTCTAATCATTGTTGACCACTGAATAAATTCGTCTGGCTAATGCAATCCTTGGTCACATCATATTTCAGCCAAACTATTTGTCCAAAATATTTAGTGTTAGTTTTAAAGCGTTAATAAATAAGTAACAGTTAATGTTGTTATACAAGATCTATGACAAAATTTAACGTAATAAAATTACAATCAATTTTTCAATGTCATAATTGTGATAATTTTAATTCTTCTTGAAAGAAAAATTAAAGTCCCATTTATCATATAGTATTTATTATGCAGACGAACAGCTTAGGCGAAACTTTTAGTCTTCTTTTGGCGCCCATAATAAATAATGACAGACTGCAGAGATTTGGTTGGTGTTTAATTTACCACATTTACTACGGAACTCTTTGTTTTATTCTTAGGAGCTCAATAATCACTAGAGCCTTTTAGCCAATACGGAACATTTCGTATTTTCGTAGCTGTAAATTTAGACAAATAATAAATATTTTATAATGCAAAATGTCGAACAATTCTTCCGCCGTATAGGTTTTTACCTCAGGTTACGGTTCTTTAAAAAAAATGGTTTACGCATAAACATGGTTGCTGCATAATGATAAAAGTTCGCTTTCTATACATCCATAAATTTTACAAACTGCCGTATTTTACGATAACGATACTATGAATTTAAATGGACGTCAAGGAATGTCGATATATCACAAATTTCTTGTATGTATAGATATATCGACTATCTACT